GTTCTCACATCAATACCAGTTTTTAGAGTTGTTTGCTTAGTTGTGAATGAGTTGTCGCTTAGTGCTTTTATCCTTTTATATATGCAGTTTACATATTGTTCACCAGCTACACCCAAACAGTAGGCAATTTAAATCGGTAAAAACTAAAGAATACTTCCGTCACTCGATGATTTCTACAACACACCTTACTAGTGATCGGTCAGTGCAGTTAACTCAATCGTGATTCACTTGCACTAGCTTCTATCAGAGCGTCCACCGAGCAAAAACCTATGGATGAAATCACAAGTATCATACAGCAAGCCACACCTTTGTATAGATTATGAAGTGTTATATTTTAATCGTAAACTCAAACGAATGTGATTCTCTTCTATGAGAGACTCCCCTGAGAGAACAACCATGGACGATATCACGAGTGTTATACAGCAAGTCGCACCTTTGTATAGATCATGAAATGTTACATTTCAATCGTAAACTCAAACGAATGTAATTTTCGTCTATAAGAGACTCCCCTGAGAGAACAACCATGGACGATATCACAAGTGTTATACAGCAAGTCACACCTTTGTATAGATCATGAAATGTTATATTTTAATCGTAAACTCAAACGAATGTATTTTTCGTCTATCAGAGACTCCCCTGAGAGAACAACCATGGACGATATCACAAGTGTTATACAGCAAGTCACACCTTTGTATAGATAATGAAATGTTATATTTTAATCGTAAACTCAAACGAATGTAATTTTCGTCTATCAGAGACTTCCCTGAGAAAACAACCATGGACGATATCACAAGTGTTGTACAGCAAGTTCTTGCCGAGCATGAGAAACTCATCACCGGAATTCAGGACAACGGGCTTTCTAACATCAATGTCGCCGATGTAAGTCAACTTTAACTATATATGTCTATATTAGTTCAATATTTTTTCTATGTGTGTCGCAATTTGCACTTACCTATTATTATAGCAATGCACTGTAGGTTATTTGTTCTTTATTCTGGACACATGTTAATGTGCACAGGCCTAGAAGTAGAACGTGACGTGCATAGAAGTGGCCAAGGTGTAGTTTGTACATGCCTGTTTAATTGACGTGTTTCCTACAGGGCATTCTACTGTAGAGTTCAAGACTAACCGAACCCTCATAAGAACCTTTCTAATTGTTACAGTTTCTATACAGCTCGCAAGTCCAAATTTGTATGAGGTTTGCATTTGCAGATGTACAGTGTATTTTGACTGTTTTTGAGTTGCCTGGCTTACAGACTTCATTTACTGAGTTGTCGCACATTTTGATTTTACGTACTTCTAATTAGTACATTCGGTAAAGTACTAAATAAGTACTAGAATTTATTGCATTTTGATCGCACTATAGCTGAAAAGTACTAAATTTTGTTGCCGTATTGTCACACCTTGATTTTTTCAATATTGCTTCTGAGTAATAGTCAACTTCGTTTTACACGGAAAATATGTATATAGGAAGTGCACAGGTATAGATGTGGAGGCGGTGGTCCGTCTATCGCATCCTCTATATAATTCTATGTGGTTTTATGTATGGTCATTTTGTAACACTTTATTACTTTGATATACTTTTAAATACTTCTATATAAATACGCATAGATGGGTAGTACACCTACGGATAATGTGGAGGCGATGGTGAAGGCAGTCAGAACAGCAACAGACGCGTCGAATAAGGATATACAATCTGTGACGTCCCGCCTATCACGTGCCAATACGCTACTGGCCAAACCAATAATACCTTCCACGTGACGATGAGACTCACTACATATTGTGGCATAGAAATACAAAGTGATATTGTGCGTTTGTAATGCACACAGATATACACTAAACAATGAAGATCTTAGAGTGAGGATGCGCGCCTGCAATGCACATATATATAGGCAGCAGAATGCCTCTCTCACTCTCTCTTAGTGAGAGAAGGAGAGATGTCATCTTGAGGGAACAATAAGGGCCATGTCCTTAATGTGTACATACGACCGGTAAATATGTATTTTTAATATATACGACCGGTATGTAAACACATACGACTGGTATGTATATACATACGACCGGGATGTATATACATACGACCGGTAGGCGGTATGTCGACTGTTTTATTAGCGTGTAAATATGTACAAGTATTGTTTTTCGGAAATAAATCCGAAATAAAGTGAGCAACAGAGGCTGCAGGCCCGCAGACTCGGGTCAAAGGACAGAGCGGCAGACAGGCAGTGCCTCCTAAATTAAATTTTCGGTTCAATATAGAAAATACAGAAAACTGGGTTGTTTTGTACCCTATGCGATTTTTTGAAAAAACATTCATCCTAAAGACTACAGTCTCCAGGTTCATACAATATACATATATTTTTATAAAAAAAACGAAAAGTTGGGTTTGATCAGCATAGCTTTTGTTACGTATTTATTAATATTTGTTCATATGCTGGTGGTCGTGTCGCGTCTCATACATATACAGATATACCTAACGTAGCTTACGTTCATATCCACGGGTAGGAAAGAGAAGGATCTAGTGTAATATTTGATACGATGCTTGCTCTGTCATCTCTGTCCAAGTATGTCCGGAACACTCAGCCTAAGACATTATCACGATTAGGGGTTCAAAGCACTAAAATCACACAATGGCAAGCAGCCTGCGTGGTGCCGAAAGCATACATACATCAACAACGAGGTATGCGGTTAGTGGAGATAGGGGAAGCACAGCCAGTGACCGAGACTAAGTATCTTCCGGGACAGTTCTTTTACCACAAGGAATTCCAGTATACGTAAGTTATAATGCAATCAGAAATGAAGTTTTAAATCAGGGTTGACTATATATTAGTTGTTCACTGTTTGACTACATGTTTTTAATCTAATTAACATGCTAGTTGAACTTGTAACGCGTGACGTTACCTTCAACGTGATATTCTTAGAATGTCAAAATACTCGAGCGACCTCTGAGTTGTTTGCATATCGAGAACCTTAATGGACTGAATGGAGCCGAAATACTTAGCTATGTGAAGGGAAAGTTGTTTTTACATCTGCACTACAGTAAGACGTTTCTTATCTTATTTGAACGAGTAGTAACACCGAGGAGTTTCCAAACCGATAGCGACTGAACTACCAAATATTTTTGCAGTGAAATCCACATATAAGCGGATTTACGAAGTAGTTGGTTGAAGTTGAGTTGGATTAATGGCTATGCCTGTGATTGATATTGTGACCTGTTTACGTATGAATCTTTCAAATATAAAACTTTTGTTATTCAACCTGCGCTATATTGATATATATATATATATATATATATATATATATATATATATATACTACACACACACACATATATATA